AATTACTTGCTCATAACATTTTGCCCAAGCCATTTTTTCTATATTCTTAAAATCTATAATACAAAATTTTTTTCATTTTTACTAATATTTTTCAACATTTCTGCAGAGCACCGATGCTGTGTTCAGTGGAGAGATTCCGCATTACGTCATCGCGAGAGGCGCATTACGTCACATCAAAGCAAAAGAGCAGCAGAGAGAGAGAGAGAGAGAGTGAGAGAGAGGTCTGAGATCCGCGGCGCTCTCTACCGAGTCTAATGCGAGTGAAAACACACTTTTATATTTACACGCTGAAATCTTCGTCGATAAAGTGCATCGTTTTACCGCGGATGGTCTTCACTGAACGCAGAGGAACAGAACTGAAACCCATTTTGGCGATGACAGGCGTTTTGGTGAGTAGCAAGTGCACAGAGAACCAGACGCCTCTCATAGAGCTTCATTGTGAATGCTCCACAGTCCACTACTAACAGGCATAATGCAGATTCTGCAAGTGTGATATTATTAGTGTGTATCTGGAACGTTATGTCCTAAATCAAGCTCTGGCTTTAATCCCAGAGCTATGATGTCTAACTCTGTTTATTTTTGGTAATAAGTATTTATAAATTCGGCTTATTATTGCATGCATATGTTTATAGCCTACAATTGTTTACATTTGGTTGAGAATTTTATTTTAGCTACTGTTTTTTTTTCTCTCTTAATCGTATATAATTTCTCTAGGTCTGTGAACACTCATCTTACAAATGAAATGGCCTATACATTGTTGGCATTTTATTTGTATTTTCTGTAGGCCTACTTTAAGTGGAATTTGAATACCAAGATGTTTGGAAAATAGATAATACTAGCTCCTACATGCACATAAAGTTAATTTGCTTTCTTAAAATGTATTTCTTTATTTGCTGTGCTGTATTAAATAGATGTTGTTTTTGTATTGCACCATTACATGAACTCATCTATTCATGTGGTTAAAACAATTGGAGATGAATGAGAAGAAGACAGCATGGACAACATTAGAAAGACTTTCCTGTAAACAGCTACATGTAAATCACAGTCTGAAAGGGCTGTGAGACTTTACCCAGAGTGCTGTGCTGCTTCATGGTGGTACCATGACAATCAGAGTATAGCATAGAGGCAGTTACTGTGTCTGATTGGTGGAAAAATCAGTTAGGTTGAGTAATGGGTCACTTTGCTGTGGATAGAGTTCTCATGGAATCCAATTTGCAGTTTTATGTGTTTTAGATAATGCATAATAATCTCAAAATGTTGACTGTGATGACCACTGGTCAATTGACATAGATTTTAGGACTTTAAGCAACACAAGACAGTACCAAATTTTACATAAATATTGTATATACACTGCCCGGCCAAAAAAAATTGAGATTTAAATTGAGGAGACTTTACAGAGTGCTTGACTCTTGCATTGTCAATACAAAAATGAATGCATCTATTAATAGAAATAAATGTTGTGATGTTATTTCCATCAAGAGGTGCATGCATTTTTTGCATTATTAACAATGCAAGAGTCCAGCACTCTGGAAAGTCTCCTCCAGCACATCCCAAAGACTTTCAATGAATTTAAGGTCTGGACTCAGAGGTGCCGATTCATGTGTGGAAATGATTCTTCATGCTCAAAACCATTCTTTCACAATTTGAGCCTGATGAATCTTGACATTGTCATGCTGGAATATGGCCATGCTGTGTTTTCCTACAGAGTTGTTTAAGAAATGAAAAGCTACACACTCCATCGGTTAGGGTTAGAAGAACTCTTGCCAAACATATAACATGATAGAAACACACTAATCACTACAATAATTATCCAATCATACTCTTAAGCATTTGCCTATTTAAATCCAAACAGTGACTTTTTTTTGGTATATATATGTGTGTGTATATATATATATATATATATATATATATATATATTCCATTTTAGCCTACATGGATGTCAGTTTCATATGCATTCTCAGAAAAAAGGTACAAAAGCTGTCACTGGGGCTGTACCTTTTCAAAAGGTAAACTGAAACATTTTCAGTGCTAATAAGTACATTTTAGGTGCTAATATGTCCATTTTAGGTGCTAATATGAACATTTTAGGTGCTAATATGTACATTTCAGGAGCTAATATGTCCATTTTAGTTCCTAATATGTACATTTTAGGTGCTAATATGTACGTTTTAGGTTCTAATATTTACATTTTAGGAGTTAATATGTACATTTCAGGTGCTAATATGTACATTTTAGGTGCTAATATGCAGCCTTTGGGTACAGAAGTGTACCTTTTGAAAAGGTACAGCCTCAGTGACAGCTTTTGTACCTTTTTTTCTGAGAGTGTGGGACATGTACTGTAGCAATGCCGTTTCTCAAATAGATGCATTATGTAGTTTTGGAAAAATGCAGCAACATTAGCTGCTATCAGTTCCTCCCACAGACGGTTTAATGCAAGTAATCCAGTGCTAATTACTCCGAGAAGACGCTCCGAACAGCTGCTTCATGTAGAACATGACTTTGTCCTCCAGGTCAGATCTGGACGTATTACATGCCAACCGACTTCAAGGGCGAACAACATCAAAAAGCACAATTTCATGTTTTTCATTCAACCTGCCATGCTAAATAAATCACCCACAGAGAGTGACAAAAAAATGGAGTCGGCCTCAAAATGCCTGGATGCCACCGACTGTCTGTCCAAAAGGATATTTATAGACCTGGAGATCCAGAGCCACAATAAAAGGAGAAAGGAGAGAGCGCGAAATATTAGACGAGTGACTCTGAGAAATATGGGATCTCTCTAGAAATGTCCCATTAGAGGGCTTGAATTACAGTCCTCTCTAGCAAGCCGTTCTTGCGTAGCCTCATCATTTTGCCTAATAATTTCACACAGAGTCTTTAAATGCAAACAACTCCACAGGCCCTTCGTTCAGGACCAGGCTCCCAGTGGAGGGTTAGGGACGGTACAAACTTGCAACCAGAGCTAGTCCAACAAGAATGTGAGTCTCTCCAATTGGAGGTTAAAGATAGAGGCAGCACATGCTGGATCCTGACGGGTTCTTATTTCAGTCGGCTGCCAAAAACTCGAAGGGCCGCTTTTGTTGTGTTTCGACCTGACGAAAAGCATTATTGAAACCTTTCGGACTTGTATTGGTCATTCATAAATAAGCAAGAGGAGGACTATGGTGCTGTCTGAAGGGTACACATCTGGTTTGAATTGTCACGTGTGTTTGTTGTTTTCATGTTTATATCGCTTCCATTTGGTTTAACATGATAGATGCAGTGTTGAAACAGTGAACCAAAACACTAAATTACACTTAATTACGCTGTGGCAGCTTGTTTATCTCTGATGTGAGTTCAATAGGGCTAGATAAGTGTCACATTACTGATGGATGGATTTTTTTGCAGTGCATTCTGGATATTTTTCACATCTGCAGGTGAATTTGATAGCGATGGTTGCGGTTGGATGTGTAATGCTTTGTCCCCGTGTTGTAATGAACTCTGGGATGTATGATTGAACATTCTTTAAAGTTAACTGAGCATTAAAAGCTTTGTGAAGGATGGAGTTTAACTTCTCTAGGAGATCAACCTCATGTTTCCTCTTATGGTTTAGTCCAGGTGTTGTTTTAAAGAGAAGGGAAAACCTGATTCAAAAGTTTTCATAAAGCATTTTTATGAAGGTACGAACAAAATTGCAAGTTTACTCTATATACACAGAATTCTGACTTTATAACTCACAATTGTAAATTTAAATCTCAATTTTGACTTAATTACTCGCAATTTTAAGTTTAAATCTCGCAATTCTGACTTTATAACTCACAATTGTAAATTTAAATCTCACAATTGTTACTTAACTCGCAATTGTTAGTTTAAATCTTGCAATTCGGACTTTATAACTAAAATTGTAAATTTAAATCTCGCAATTTTGACTTTATAACTCGCAATTGTGAGTTTATATTTTGCAATTCGGACTTTATAACTCACGAGTTTAAATCTCGCAATTCTGATTTTATAATTCCAATTGTAAGTTTAAATCTCACAATTCTGACTTTATAACTCGCAATTGTGAGTTTATATTTCGCAATTTGGACTTTATAACTCACAATTGTGAGTTTAAATCTCGCAATTTTGACTTAATAACTCGCAATTGTAAGTTTATATCTCGCAATTCTGACTTTATAACTTGCAATTGTGTGTTTATATTTCGCAATTCTGAGAAAAAAAGTTAAGATATGAGAAAAGAGTGCGAGATATAAAAAAGTTTTTTTCCTTAAAATTTGACTTAAAAAAAAGTAAAAAGTTTCAATGATCTTTTTCAATAGTTTCTTCCATACGATACAGCTGTTGTTTGCTCGCAGTAAAAGAAGATGGTATTATTGTACTGAATGTCACAAGGCAGTGTTCTTGTAAATGTTATTTTTAATCAAGGTCACAAGTGCAGTCCAAAAGCTCTGTTACTGTCTACAATGTGAATCATGAC